TATATATATATATTGGTTTAAGAAAAATCTTGTTAAAAGAAGAACTGTGTGAAAGCTTTGGTCATCTCATTCATGAGTATAAAGAATGTGTTCAGTAGAATAATACAAACAAATAATATAAAGGAATATTATTTTCCAGGCACAATGAAATAATGCTCTGTGAAAATGTGTGTCTCCAGAATTGAAATAAATAAGGAAGGGCTTACAATGTGGAGACAGCCAAATATTCAGAAATTACCTTTGTTATTGAAAATGCTGAAAATATGTAGCTGAAAAGATAAATGTAGGTCTGGGAAATTATTTGAGAAACTGCTATCACAAAAGTTTGAAATGTCTAATAGATCACTGTATGTATTGGCAGCTTTATACTTTAGTGCTGGTATGTACAAAAATAAAAGATTCTAAAGCAAACCACAAAAGAAACCTTTTTTCCTATTTGAAATATTACTATGTGCTGAAGGTATACATATTTTCTCAGAGGAGAATCATTGCTTCATTCAAAAAAAAAAAAAAAAAAAAGCAAAAGCCCCAATAGATAGTCCCTGCTTTTTTTTCCATTTTTAAATTTTCTGAAATCAAATGCTGTGATACTCTAATGAGGGTATAATACAGAAAATTACAACAACTCTGAAGCCAAGCTTGGCTTTTCCTGGGACCTTGCCTGTCTTCATCCATAAGCTGTCTTGTCAGCTCTTCATCCATCCCCAGGCAGAGCTCCCTGCACTCCAGCTGCTCTCTCACATGAAAGGCAGGCAACTCATTCTCCATGTCTTCCGGGAATGTCTCAAGAGCCCGTATCAATCCATTCCAACACTCCTGTCATGGGAGCCATCCAGCTATGCCTCCGTGATTCCAATATGATCGTTGCAATTGCACACAGATCTCTTAACTCATCATGTTCTTTCCCCACATGAAGTAGTATACAGGCACTTCAGGATGGCACCCCAACATTTTGAGTTCCTGGAGACCATTTGGGGGGATTTTTCCACAATGGTGCCATGTACGAACCTCCTTGCCTGTATGCAGGTGCTGGAGATGAGCCCACACAAGACACCACTTTTTTTTTTAATTTGCTATCTGTTCCTATCACACCATACCTTGAACTACAGAGGCAGTTATGTGAATTCTTGATGTATGTTCTTCTCATCCAAGTTTCTCTTGGATTGTTATTCATACTTTTATTTACATATAAATATTTTCTTCCCTGCTGTTACTTGTGTTGCCTTTTTAATTTTATTTTTCATTTTGATTGTCCTGTAATTTTGCTGCTTTTCTGTTTTCATAGTCATCCCATATTTAAGGCTTCCCACTGGGTTTTTGTTGGGAGTGTATAACCCTCTCTTGTCATGTCAGGTGTGCCTCATTGAAACTAAATTAAATTAATTGTCAAAAAACTGAACTTGTGTAATAAAATGATATTCTTCTTTGTCAGATGGATGTTATCTTCATTAATGTTTGTTCATGCCACAACATTCACTGCACACTGAAGCCAAAGGTCATATGTCAGTGCAAGGAGCTGTAAATCCAGAAAGTTAATTCATCTGTTGTAAGCTAAGCTTTTACAATGATCTCCATTGCCTCTTTAATGAACTTTGTTATCACTTCTGAATGTCTGAAGGTCACACCTATTGATATCACTTAAGTTCCCAAGAGTGGGAGGCAAAGGGAAGTCTTGAAATACAGTAACATAGAGTTCCAGACAGACTTTTTCCAACAGTTTTGAAAACTGGATAAGAAATTCTTTCTAATTATAGGTGTTCCAAAATTTGCCCAACTCTGACAGATTCATGTTGTTTTCACAAACTACTTAGTATTTCAATTATGCCTCCTGCATAACTGCAGTGATATTTATTGTCTTAAGAGACAATAAATAAATAAAAGAACGAACACTTAAAGATGCAGACATTAGAGAGAGCATGCTGAGATGTTCACAAGTTTTTAGCTTTTTGTGTTTTTTGAAGTTTTTATTCTTTCCATTTTTTCTTCTCCTTTCTGGTTCTCAAAGGTCCCAAAGAAACAAATAGAACAAAAACAAAGCAAAGTTAAGAACAAATAACTTAATAACTGATACTTCAGGGAGGTCTTGTAGCCATTTTTTCCTTGCTATTGTTGCAAGGCAGGACTGAGGGGGGAAAAGATAATCTTTTTGTAGAATGGGATGTCATTGGTATAGGGTTTTGTCTGAGCTGAAAGGTTGACTAGTTACATTTGCAGTGAAGGGCTGTGACTGAAGTAGCTTAACTGGAATTTTCTTTTGCAGAAACAACAGTAGATGTAAGCATCAGTCATTAGTTTAACCTATGCTATCAGAAGCTGGATTTGAAATCTGAATAGCTTAGCTTGTACCAAGTCTTGACATGAGTTTTAAATGTCATGCTACAGGTAGCCTTCAGGATCTGGATCCTTGTCCTGTGTGAATTACTGGGTGCCTTACACTGTATTCCATGGAGTCTGAATTTTGCTTTTGAATAAAACATCAAAATCTATAATGCAAATTTAAAGACCTCAAGAGCTTTAAATTTTATTGAAATCAGTGATAACTAAAGGTAGGGAATATGTAAGGGAATATGAGCCTTGACTTACAATTTTTTACCTGCTGGAAGAAGTTGTAAGGGGGTAAAAACCTGACTGTTTCATTATAATTATGTCTTTTTAGTCCAAAATATATATGACATTTTTTTCTATTTGCAGTATTTGTATTCTGAAAGTAACTTTCTTTGAGGCATTTGCAGTGGACATTGCTTATCAGATGAAGTGATTATTATGAGCTGAATTTTTCCTCAGTTGGTTGTCTTATCCAGTTTCTGTTCTTCCATTCGAGGAGAATAGTAAATGACAAGAGACTAATACTTACAACAGTAAGAACTTTAGAATATCAAGTCTGCCTTTTTAATAGAAAATACCCTAAAGCATTTTTTCTGGATGGTTCTGTTATACTGTATGTAGTAAAATCTGAAAGAGTTTTTACTAGAAATTGAAATACTTGACTCTGTAGAACACTTTAAAAAGAATGCCAGCCTTTTCTTTGCAAATGTCAAAATTTCATAAATGAATTTTGCAAGCATCATAATACTGTTTATGGAGTGACATATTGTATACACAGTCAGTTTCTATAAACGTTAAACAGTTTTGTCAACAACTGATGGCAGTGGAATTATAATTAGATCTATTTATGAAATTCATTACACAGATAAAGAAAATTGGATGTTTTCCTCTGTGCTAATTGACATGTGGAACAACTGTGTACTCTGCTTCACTGCATTTTTGGTGCTTTAAAAAATAAATTACAGTATGAAAATCATGCTGTAGCTGCATTCCTTGTATTAATTGTAGGTCCAAAGGCTGTATTCAGAAGTTGAGAGTATATGATAATTTGATTTATTTTGCAGTTAGTAGAGGTGTTCTGTAGAGGAATAGTGTATATCAAAGCAATTTAGTCCTCAAGGCCGGAGGGAAAATGGGATAGTTTAGCCATTAATTAAATTTCTGAAAGAGAGGTAGTATTGATAAGTCGCTAGTTATGTGATTGAGATGATTTTTAGGATAGCTGTTCAGTTTAGTTTAACTGTTAAATGCTGTTTGTTGTGGTTCATGGGTCAGAAGCCTGTACTTGGTGGTACACTATAATCTGACATATGCTGATCTTAGTAAGCTGGTGGGGGTGTATTTTAAAGACATGCATGGACAAGTTGTAGGTTTCAACATTTTAAACTGTGACATATGAAGATAATTTTGGATTTTGTAATCTAGCACATGCTTGCCTAGAGGTGGCGAAACATACAAAAAAGCCAAGAAATAATCCAGAATTTCTCACTGTGCTACTGCCTTCTCTCCCTTTCTGTTTCCCTGGCCACTGTACCTCCCAAGGGATTGGGCCAGGGCAAGGAAAACTTGGTGCTTCTAGTTCTGACTTCCAGCTGCCTCGTCCTCTCCTCTTTGATCCAGTCTCTACACTGTAACAACTACTAGATGTCTTGCCCTTCAAACCCTCTTTAGACATGTTCTATTATGTCCCCATGTTCACATGCCTCTCATTTTCCATAAAGACCTTCCAATGTATATGTCTTGGTCTGCAGATGACCAAAAATATCCTTATATGACAAGAGCAATGCACAATCAAGTTGAAAATATTCTAGTAGAGATGCAAAACTTGCATAAAGCTGCTTGGAGAATGGTTGTTAATGAGGTCTTGTCAGAATAAGGTATCCTACGTGACATTGCAGGTTGTGTGTTGAGATTAGGTTTGGATGGGCTTCCAGTGTTTCATTACCCAGTTTCAGAGTTTGTTTATCGGATTCCCAAGCATCACAATGCTTTGCAGGGACTGAAAGTGCCCTGGAGAGTAGCTGAAATTAGTGTTACTTGGCAGGATCAGATGCCAGAGCGAAAGTAATGAGTGATGCCATGTTTGTATGGTATTTTTTTTACAAAAATTTTTTACAAAAGGACACTTTTGTTCTATTTTTTTCTTTTTCTTTTTTTTTTTTTTTTTTTTTTTTTTTTTAATGAGCTAGAAGCATTAAGAATGTAATGTTATTCTTTGGCTTTAAGCCTTGACTGAAGTTGCGCTTGTGTAAGATTGTGAACCAGTCAACTGAAGAAAGACAACAGGACTTACAAGTCCATAAGTATGAAGTTTAGAAGACTGGGCAGAAGAGGAGAGTATGTTGCCTACTATATAAAAGGTGGATTGTAGAGGATGGTAAAATCTATTTTTCATTCCCATGGCACATATGTAGTAAGTAAGGGTTTAAATTAAAGCAGTGAAGATTTACATTGGAGAGTGAAGGGGCAGGGAGGTGGAGAGAAACCTTCACTGGTCCTCAGTGGTACTGGAAAGTTGCAAAATTATGTCATTGGAGATCTTAGGAAAATAATGAAAACATATGTCATGTACTTATACAAGTACTGTGGCAAAGAATAGGTGACCTCTTGAAGTATCTTGTAGCTCTTGGGTTCAGCACTGAACTGTCAGCATGAATTTCAGGTCTTCTAATCTCTAACAGTATAGAGCTGAGATTGTAGATCCAACTTCCTGATCAGGATACCAACAGTGATAAGGAAATGTTAAATCATAGGAGAGAAGTTGCCCATTTTGGATAGGAGTAATAGTGTGAGAGTTCAGCTACTCATATGGAGACTTCACTGTTGCTTTATTTGGATGATATGTAGCAACAGAATTTTTGCTTGCAGTAAGTGGCAGATTTTTACTGAACCATTTATCTGACCTGATTGGATATCTCTTACTTTTTTATTAAAAAATGTTTATTTGCTTTGAGGTAAGTAGAAGATTAGCTTTGTGATTGTCATGTGGATGAATTTTGTTCCTTATTATTCATAGTTATATTATTTTTATACCATATAGACTTTCATTTACTTTTAGATGAAGAATTCTCACATTGCTGTTAAAAAAAAAAAAAAAATACAGCAGCTTTTTCCTAATTAGTTTTTTAATTAGAAAATCAAGACATTTGGTCTTGCTAGTGATCTGAAACTGGTAAGATTTTATGTTCTTCAGAGAAGCACCTTGAAAATACTAGTGTAGCAAAAGGTGCAGGCTTACCATAAATCCACTAAATTTATGTCATCTACTAGTTTGCATACTTTAAGTCACCACGTGCATTCTTCTTTTTTGTTTTGTCTTAGGAAAGGAGACTGAGAAAGCCAAAGATCGATGTGAGAAAGCTACTATGAAACTTCATATGTTGCATAATCAGTATGTGTTGGCACTGAAAGGAGCACAGTTACATCAGCACCAGTATTATGATACTACACTTCCTCTGTTACTTGATTCACTACAGAAGATGCAAGAAGAAATGATTAAAGCCCTGTAAGATATATTCTTATATATTTATAACTTGTGGGATTTTATATATGTAGTATTCTATTTAATTTCTATTATTTGAAAATAATAATCTGTGATTAATTGTATAGCAAGGGTTAATGGAAAAAAAGATGTTCTTATCTTTCAATTGACAGGTAATGCACACTGTGTTTTTGGGTTGTTACTTGAACGTTCTTGCAAGGCACCGTCTTGTCATAAAAGTTTAAAATATTACAGATTAAGTGCAGTGTTTATATCTGAGCTCAGGCTTTGTCCTTCAGCTGGTACACTGTACAGGTATACTATGGCAAGTTTGTTGCATCTCCTTTAGTCTTATTTTTATGAAGTTCTGACAGCAACAAATTAGATATAAACTGGCCAGCTGTCTTGCAAGTCATTGCGGAGGAGGGCCAGGCAGATGCATGGCTTATCATATGTGTTGGAGAAGTAACTGGATCATGTAATCCTGATCTCACTGTAAGGAGTCCAACCTTAAAAATACAATTACCTTTTCCTGAAGGATAATTTTTAACTTCATTACAGCAGGTGTGCAAACTGATGATCTCAGAGGACTTTAAGATCTCTTTTCTAGTTTTGAACCACCATGCTGCCTCTTCGTCTTTCCTTAAGAATGGGAGTTGGTATGGGAGTCTGCTCTGTAGCTTTTCTTCTGGAGTGTTATTTAAATCACTTAGCCTAAAAGAAAAGGCACTTACTTTTTTTGTCATTTAGATACAAGGCACTCTTTTTAACTAATTTTCTTACCCTTCTCTGAAGTCTGCGTTCATTGTGACTTCAGCACACAGTAAGTGAGGGAGAGTTGGGAATTTCACACTTTACACGCTTACGTGATGCAGATGCCATTAACAGCCCTGTGCAGTATCATACTGATTCCTTTGATTCTGGTGCAAATACCAAAATGAAATAGACCTTTGTAGTAGTCTCTGCACAGTCTTCTTAATTTTGTATGTAGAATCACAGCAAAAGGCTACAGTTAAATTTCTGTGCTGTAATTAAAGTGATTTTTCAGAATTATGAGATAATTCACTGCAAAATTTTATAATGGAACAAAAACCTATTGAACCCGCTCACCTTTGTGATGTCTGGAATGAAAACCTGTGAAAAAAAATTGTCACCACATAGACATTTTTGTGAGATTTTTGTGTACAGGAAAATTACTCCTTTCTGATAACTTTGTTACAGTTAGTGTACAGAAAGAGATGCTGATTTCAGGTGTAGAGCCTGGTGTGGCCTTCTGTGTGAAGCATACTTCCTTAATAACCTGATTTTGCTCATAAATTAGTTCAGTAAACTTGAATAAGTATAGATTAATATTGCTAATGATTTTTTTTTTTATTTTTATTTTGTTTTTTGTAATTGACAAATTTCATTTCTCTTTGAGATGACATTGCTGTAGTTGATATTTGCCTATCTCGTCATCATATTCTTTGAACTATTTTCTGGAACCATTTCACACATGTTGTTCCTAGGCAAGGCAAGATTTAATGCCTTCTTTTTGTCTGTTTCCTGCTCAGAAAAAGTATTGAAAAAGTGCAATCGCATGACTTTTTTACAGAGTAAATGGAACTTGACATCTGATCCAAAAATCTGTTGATATTTTTTTCTCTGCATATTCCTCTGGGCTGGCCAGTAGTCATCAGTATTTTAAGAAATCTCACCATGCTTAAGAGCCTGGCAAGCTAGCAAGTTTACTTGAAGATAAAAGATGAAATAGGAAATAATTATGAGGGTTCATTTATGGAAAACTGAAAATTAAAGAGAATAGGAGGGTGGTCTGAACCTATGTCACTGGATGCTATTAAAAGTAGTGGCACAGTATCACCTATTCTTTTGCTTTTCCCTATTCACTTGGTTTTTCCCACTCTTGGAAGCAGGTAAAGACAAGACTGGGTGGCTTGTACTTTTTTACAGGAAATTCTTGTGTGATTTTGTTTCTTCTTGTAAAAATATGCTAACTTGTGATTTATGCTTATTTTTGTCAGAATAACAAATCATAAAATGAATGTATGGAAGAAGATAATTAAAACAATAAAGAAAACCAATTTTAAAGGAAGCGCACACTATTTTGGGACTTGTTTTGACTTATGCCAGAATATAATTGTTTTGACAGTCAGAACGAGAAAAGCTTTAGTGTAGATTATAGTAAGCATGGTAAGTCCTTTGTGAAGAAGAATGTCATCAATAAGCTACATACATACCTTCTCCATGTAATCTCTACATCTCTGCATGTAGATGCACTGAAATCAATACGAGGAGCATGGTCTTAGAGACTCATAGCCAATTTGTAAAGAAAAGGCCTCAGCTGATTTCTTACTTCTTTGAGTAATATATTGACTTATTTTCCCTTTTTAGTCAGTTGTAACAAGAGCTTGTAGAAACAGAAAATTGAAAGTTTGAAGCATCTTCAATGCCATCTATGCCTTCAGTGCCATGTTATACACTAGAATTTTTTTTCCTCTCTAGAAAAGGAATCTTGGATGAGTATAGCCAGATCACCAGTCTTGTAACAGAAGAGATTGTGAATGTCCATAAAGAGATCCAGACTTCGGTTGAACAAATAGACCCTAACTCTGAGTATAATGACTTCATAGATACACACAGGTATACATTTTCATCTTCTTGTGCGTGCTCATCTTTCTTCTTGGGAAAACCCTGCATTAGACTGCAACCCTACTTATGAGTTGAGTTTGTATCTGTTTGTTTCCTTTTACATTTTCACTTGTAAAGCTTTACTCTAGTTTGAAAATTGTTCTACTTGCATGTGCAGAGTGCTGGCTAAAAGTCAGGTTTTGTTCCTGACTTTCATTAACCACCCAAAGCTTTGACTGGCTTTAGAAATGCAAAATTTCAGTTATCCTTATTATATGTGAAGAACTGTAACTTTGGAACTGACAGCAGACTATGCATGACAGTCCAGATTCAGTGTGAGCAAATTCACTGTTTGCTTGGATGTACTTTGCATTCTTGACTAAACTTTCTCTGTTTTATTTCTCTCATTGTCTGAGTTCTAGTTTAAAGTGAACTCTAGGTACCTCTGTGCACTCTGCAGTTAATGCAGGTTAAGCAGTGCCTGGGACTACAGAGTAAACAGATAATGCAAGAAAGATTTTTACTGTAAAAATAAACTCTATACCATTTATTGAACTGTTATTCTGTATTAGTATATGCAGAAATAGTCCTAAGACTTCATGTGTTATCTTTTTTGTTGTCATGAATGAATTCATAATTGTCAGGTGCAGGTTTATAGCAGGACTAGCCAAGATTGGAGCCATTCATATTGATACCCTTTGAGAACCTTCATTATGCTGTGGTCTTAACTCAAAGAATTGTATGTCATTTTATAACCTGGTATGATTTTAAGGCTACATTTTTTACTCAAAAGAAAAAGTATGTATCCAGCTGTTACCTTTTATTTCATATATAATTTTAATTATATTCTAGTTATTAAAATAATTCAAAGAATTCAATTATTGAATATATTCAATAATTCAATGCTTTACTTTATGATCTACTCAAAGATAATGTTATTTTAAAAAATATAATAATTATTTGATAAATTAGGTCATCGGAAGTTGTTGAACAAGAAATAGAGTTTGATACATCTTTACTAGAAGAAAATGAAAACCTTCAAGCTAATGAGATCATGTGGAATAATCTGACAGCAGAAAGTTTACAAATCACGTAAGTCTTTACAAACCTTTCAACCTTTGGAAAGGCTATTATACATTATATCTAGGCTCACTTTGATCATTGCATAGTATGCTCATTTTTAAGGTCCATTCTCTTAAAAATAACATTTTCGTGCTATAGACTCTTTTCTGTGATGGTTTTCTTGTTCCCTTGCACAAAATTTTCCTCCTCAGTCATACCCTCCCCCATCTTGCTATTGCTTTCAATGTATGTTCCTCTCCTTGACAGGTAATTAATATAATGCCCCAAATCCATCATGAGTTCTCCTTTGACGCATACTGATTCATCTTCCCAAATGTGTTTCCGCATTCAGTAATCTTGGAAAAATACTGAAATCTTTTGATGAAACTGCAGAGTAGAGTGTGAAATTTTCATGCCTATATTTATTTTACTGTTTTCTAAGTGTTTGCTTTTGTTTTCCAAAACGCATTCTTATTCATTATTATAACCTTTAAACAGATTAATTTACTAACACAGATGTAGCTGTTATATTGCATTTCATGGAGGTTTTACCTATTCAGGGTGATAAATTACCTCTCTATGTATTTTGTTAATATATTGTCTAGTTAAATCTTTTCATTACTTTTACCAACTTCACCTTTAATCTTTTGTTACTGGGGAGCAAATCTCCTGCTGAGGTTATTATGTTCTTATTATCAGCCACAACTTTTGACATAAAATGGTCTAACATTATTATAATAATTATTATAATGGTCTAACTTTATTATAAATTCCCTTTCAAGGTCATTAATCATCCTTTCATTTTTACCTTTGCAATCTGATTACTTTTCATAAACATATTCCTTAATTGGTATTGAAATAATATTTTTAATATGAAGTCTCAGCCTCCTTTGTTAAACTCCTCCTTAGTCCTGAAGACACTTCATCTTTTTTCTGAAGGGAAAAAGGGTCCCTTGATAACTAAAGTTCTTCCTTCCCTTTAAACATGTTTCTGTGTATAATGTATTCTGCTTCATTACTAAATTGAGATTTTTCCTGCTTAAACCATGCAAGTGTTGTACATCTAGATATACTTCAGCACAGTAACTAAATCTTGCTTTTCATGAAAGTATTAGAATTTTTCATAGATTGTCCCTTCCACAGCTCAAAAAGATAAATACCTTTTGGTTTAGCTTTTCTTCTGTATTCCATTGTTTAGAAATTAGACATCAGCATGTCTAAGTGAAAGAGATGAAATGCTACTTCTTTAGTAAATTATTCTCATGAAATGTTTATTTGTTTTTATAAATGTGTCTGCATAATTACCTATATATATGCATTTTCAATGAAATTTTCAGGGTGTCCTATTAGAAATCTTATATTCACCCATTTTAAATTCTTTTGTGAATTTGAGAGAGCAATTTTACAGTGTGAGACTACTTTTGAAAGAGGAATCACATAGCTCTTTTAAGTGTAGTTGGTTTTAAGGTGTTTACTTTCTGGTATAGATTTAGGATTAAGCAAAAAATTTTAACTGTGCTAGGTCAGACTGACCTAACCAACTTTCTTCTCTCTGACACTAGCCACGGAGAAAAGTCTAGGGAGGTGACTAGAATCAGATGATCATGCAATGTTTGTTCCTCAGATTGATCTCTTAGCTTCCCATAATGTTCAGGTCAGAAATGTAGTAGAAGTAGTATTTGTTTATAATAGCCTTAGAGGTAGTTTGTAATAGCCTTCAGAGGTATTTTAATTTGGTGAATTTGTCCAGTCAATTTCAGTATGTTCAAGTATTTGTTGTCCACAGAATTTTAGGTCAAGGAATTCCAAAGAGTAACTTCCTGTCATCATATATGAACCTGCTACTTCTTAGCTTTGTTTTATGGCTCTTAAGCTTTTTGTTTTGGAAGAAAACAGGACCATTCTGTTCCTTTTTGGCTATGATACAGTAAACTTCTGTCATACTCCTACTCTGTGATCTATTTTTCAGAGCCATCTTTAGCTTTAGTTTGTTCTTTCACAAAATTTACTCATACCTTTTATTGACATTGTCATCTTTATTTGAATGTTTTTGAGGTTACTGTATTATTTTTGAGATGAATGACCATAACTGCACAAGTAACCCAGATGCATAGTTTAGAGAGAGGCATACTGAGGTTTCCTGTATTCTTATTCTGCTTTGTGTTTAGAACATCCTAGAGAATTGTTCTGTTTGATTTTTCTGACCACTGCAGTGGTCAGAAGAGCCAGTGTTTTCATGGAACCATCTACTGTAATTCCAAGATCTTATTTCTGAGAGGTAACAATCAGCTTAAAGCTGTTCACTACATAAATAAAGCTTTGCATTGTTTTTTCCCCTCTGTATATTTGCCTATTTCAATATGCATTTAAATTAATCTTCTAAATGACAGTCCAGTAATTGAGTATTGTAAAATCCAGAATAATCCTTTTGTGTTCTTCACGTTCATCCCCTTCCCCCTATCTCAAATAACATTGTACTGTCAGCATTCTTTATCACTATACTTTTTATTTGGGTTATTACAAACATATTAAGCAGTACAGATTTTTGTAAAGATCCACCAGCTCCTGGCACTGTAAAACCTGTTTATTCTTATCCTCTTCGGCCTTTTTTTTAATTGCTTTTTAGTGAAGGTGAGAACCTTTCCTTTTAGAGGTGCTGAGTTCTCTGTAACTGCCTTTGCTCATACACTTTTTTAGATATTTTTGTTACAGTCTTGCTTTTAAACCACTACAGCCAAAAAAAACCACAGGTATTTTCATAAACTCACCATATATGATGAGAAATTTGCAAGTGAGTATTACATCATTTATCCATAGATGCTGACTTATAAAAATCCACTGTGTATGTGCTGAAACAATAGAAATTTGACTGTATTGAGATCAAGGCTTTGGATCTTCAAAGTACTACATCATTATGTTTCTGCAGAAGAGAACTACCTTCAGTATCTACCAAATATAATAAATCTAGTACACATATTGGATTCATTTTACAGACCTCTAATAGATACAAGGATGTATATTGATTTGGAATCAGTAATTTTTGGTTGCATCAGTTGTTTTATTGACTATGTGAAGAAAAAAATGACAGTTTTATATACATTACTGTTTAAAGGTTTTCATAAAAAATGCTTTAAGGAAACATGATGAGAAAACTGGCTTACTTTTACATTTTTTAGGTAAGTTTATATTTACAAATAATGTTTTGACAGAGGGAGGTAGTTAAAAGTCAGTGTTGACTACCTAACCTATAAGTAATGAGAGAAGTATGATGTCTCCTGATAAATGTTGATGACTGTCACTGACTAATATTGAGATATTCTAAAAAGTAGAACAATGGCAATTTATGCTTTGAAGATGAATGCATTAAAAACCGAGAGGAGGCAACCAGAATTAAGTAAAGGTTATTAAGTAGGCATATGAATTAATATCCAAATGAATATAAAAAAACTTAGAAATAGAAGTTTGTAAGCACAAGTGTTTATTTTTATTGATATTTGAGGCAGAATAGTGCTAGTGACTAAACAAATATGAAAGGCAGCTTTCCAGGTAGCCAGAACCTAGTATGAAGATGTCTGCTTTCTGGGTTTTTGAATTTTTTTTTTTTTTTTAATTTTTTTTTTTTTTAGTCTCATTTTATATGTTCTCATGCCATTGAAACCTAGCGGTTTGGTATTGCATGGTTGTTAAAGCTAATAAGGATTATAGGGACTAGCTGGTTAGCAGTAAAAATGCTTTTGTAAACTATTTTATCCAGGAGGCAAATACGAGCCCACAAGAAACTTATAAGTAACATAATACAAGGCAGATGCAGAGATGTCAGTTCTTGCCAGTTTGAATGAAAATTATTGTTTAAAACAAAATATAGAGGTTGAATACAAGGAGACAAGTTAGTTTAGTGTGTATATGGTTACTTTGTTTTGTTTTCTCTAAAGTAAATACAAACATTCTAAAGTATTGCAGAAGTTTCAGGGAGAACTACATGAAGTTTCTGTTTCAATCTGATCTGCAATATAAAATCTGATACTTTTGAAATGGTGCTATATTTTAATAATTAATGTTGTTTCTGCATGTATACAGTCATACCTTCCAGTGATGAACAATCTTATTAATTTGGTTTTAGTTTCTTGAATATTGGTGCTTGATCATTAGATGTAACATCTGCTTCCTGTAAATCAATTGTTAAGCCAATACAATGTTGATTAAAATTTTGATTAGAAAGCTGATCAAAAAGCAGTATCTACAGTTACAAAATTGGTAATTATGTTTTTAGCAAGGTATTGAAAGAAAAAAGTTAGTTGACATTAAATTGGTGACCCAGTGAAAGAAAATTGTCATTTCTGAGAAGTTCAGCAGACAAATTTTGATAGCCTAAAACCAATAAAAATGTTGATTAAAAAGAGAGCTGTGGTGATATTTGAGAAAAATGTTTTAAGTATTCCACTCACTTCAAAATAAACACATTCAGAAGCTTGTTGATATGGGAAATAAACTTTTATCATTCACCGTATGGCTTTTTTATAGTAATTTAAGCCTTCCAAGATAAGATCCAGAACTGTCTGAATAAAGAATACATGTAATCAATGTTGCATAAAATATATCAAGAGGAAAGAGAACTAATTTAGCATTTAGAATCAAATCATTCAGTTTGGTATATATGGATGTGGAGAATGGCTCCTTGATATCTAGAGTCCAAGTATATTACTCTTAATTGACCTTTTTTGACACTCCCCAATCTGGAATGATTTGGAGAAGTAGATTTGTGCAGTGGTAAGTACTATGTGTATTTTACCTTTGTTCAACTCTTTATTTCAAGATTTTTTTTAATTGAAATTGGGCTTCAAAATACAGGGGAAGCAGATTAGGACTAAGATATCAGTACGTGAATGTTAAGAAGCAAATAAGGTGTACATATTTTTCTTGCATTGTTCGGAGTACAAATGTTTTGTACATTTGTTGACCTTTTGTTTATCATAGAACTTAGAATGGTTACAGTTTGAAAGGACCTTAAAGATCATTCAGTTCCAACCTGCCCGTTACAGGCAGGGACACCTTCCGCTAGACCAGGTTGCTCCAAGCCCTGTCCAACCTGGCCTTGAACACTGCCAGAGATGGGGCTGCCACAGTTTCTCTGGGCAACTTGTGCCAGCGTTTCACCACCTGCATAGTAAAGAATTTCTTCCTAATGTCTTATCTAAATCTCCCTTCTGTCAGTTTAAAGCCATTCCCACTGGTCCTATCACTACAGGCCCTTGTAAAAAGTCCCTCTCCAGATTTCTTGTAGACACCCTTTAGGTGCTGCAAGCTGCTTTAAGGCCTCCGCAGAGCCTTCTCTTCTGCGGGCTGAATAAGGCCAGCTCTCTCAGACTGTCTTCATAGGAGAGGTGCTCCTCTGATCATCTTCATGGACGTTCTCTGGACTTGGTCGAGCAGGTCCACATCTTGCTTATGTTGTCAGCCTCAGAACTGAATGCAGGACTGCAGGTGGGGTCTCAAGAGAGCAGAGAAGAGGAATCCCCTCCCTTAATCTGCTGGCCACACGCCTTTTGATGCAGCCCAGGACACCGCTGGTTTCTGGGCTGTGAGCGCACACTGCTGGATCATGTTGAGCTTCTCATCAACCAACACACCCAAATCCTTCTCCGCAGTGCTGCTCTCAATCCATTCTCCACCCAGCCTGTTTTTGTGCTTGGCATTGCCCTGACCCTGGTGCTTGGCCTTGTTGAACTTCATGAGGTTTGCACTGGCCCACTTCTCCAGCCTGTCAAGGATCCTCCGGATGGCATCCCGTCCCTCCAGTGTGTCAACTGCACCACACAGCTTGGTGTTATTGGCAGACTTGCTGAGTGTGCGTCAGTCCCACTGTCCATGTCACGAGCAAAGATGTTGAACATCACCAGTCCCAATACCAACCCTGGAGGAACACCACTTGTCACTGATCTCCACTTGGACCTTGAGCCATTGACCACAACTTTTTGAGTGTGACTGTCCAGCTGATTTCTTATCCACTGAGTGGTCCATCCATCAAATCCATACCTCTCCAATTTAGAGACAAGGATCCCATGCAAGACAGTTTCAGGTGCCTTGCTCATGTCCAGCTAGATGGCATCAGTTGCTCTTCCTTTATCTGCCAGTGCCATAACCCCATCATTGAAGGCCACCAAATTTTACAGGCAAAATTTGCCCTTAGCAAAGCCATGATGGCTGTCATCAATCACCCCCTTACTGTCCATGTGCCTTAGCATAGTTTCTAGGAGGATCTGCTCCATGATATTGCTGGGCACCAAGGTGAGACTGACCAGCCTGTGGTTCTCCAGGTCTTCCTTTTTTCCGTTTTTAAAAACGGGGGTTGTATTTCCCCTTTTCCAATCAGGAGGATCTTCACTGGGCTGCCATGGCTTCTCAAATATGACAGATAATGGCTTGGTAACTTCACCTTCCAGTTCCCTCGGGACCTGTGGATGCATCTCGTCAGGTCCCATGGACTTGCGCACCTTCGGGTTCCTTAGATGGTTTCAAACCTGATCTTCTCCTACCATGGGCGGTTCTTCATTCTCCCACTCCCCACATTTGCCTTTTATGATTGGGGCAGTGTGGCTGGCACTCTTGCCAGTGAAGACTGAGGCAAAAAAGTCATCGAGTACCTTGGTCTTCTCCATGTCCAGGTCTCCTGTTTCCTTCTGGAGGGAGCCCACATCTATCAGAATTTTTGTTATTGGAATGTTTGCCAACATAATTGCAAAGTGTCAGAAATGGTTGTAATGTGCGATAACCCCTTATCTTTTAGTATTGAACAGGTACTGATATCTTCTTGTACAAGTGTTTTCTTTCATTTGAATTAACTGTTACCAATGATTGAGTGGCTTTAAAAAAGAAAAATACACAAAACACTCTTACAGTAGCATCTATTTCTAGTTTTGTTGTTTGTAGAAGTGAGTACAGCCGAACTGCTGATTCTGTGTATTTAATGTTTACTTGAGTAGTTGGGAGGGTTTCATCTTTCATAAAATATCTCATAAATTAGCAATGTATTAGGAAAGTATTAATTCACAGAACTCATCACACATTCTGGAAGAAATTTTCTCAAGGAGAGCCTGCAAGCAGCAGATCATTCTATAACCTTGTGTGTATAAAGAAGCTAGTATTGGATCTATAATAATATGGGTTAGTAACATAATATAAACAGCCAGCCACAGAAAAAGGTCACCAGGCACTGAGTAAGGTAATTTAAAGAGTAACGCTCTTTTACATCTTAAGGAAAAAAACACAATGTTCCCAAATATATACAGTTTGTGTATTCACAATGTGGGTTTCTAAAATCTATGTCTTACAGGTTAAAAACTGTAATAGAAGAACTGATTCAGACACAGCAAACCCTTCTGAGCAAAGAGGAGCTTGTGTTGGAACTGGAGAAAAAAATAGAAGAGTCCTCTAAGACTTGTGAAAAGAAGTCTGAGTAAGTCAAAATGAAATTTCGAAATACAATAATGTGAGGGAAAAGTATCTGTAATTGATTTCCTAAGACCTAAATAAGAAGTAACAATCACTGATCTTGTTCTGCTTCTGTGAGGAGGGATTATTGTGAAAAAGAATATCTCATCTCTAAAATAACCCTTAGCCATTGCAGATCCTAATTCAATAGAGAACTGAGCAGATCCATTAATTTAATATAATTGTCACAGTGTTGAGATGGCTCAAGAACTGGACCTTTGGTTACTTGTAACTTCAGCCTGGTGGAAGAAAAGCAGTCAATTTAGATTGCCCCTCTGATGGAGTTTATTGTGTAGATACAGTTTTGTGAAAGACTTTCAGATTCATGTGCAAGATATACTATTTCTTATGCAATAAAGTTTGAGCTCGTCATGTTAAGTTCATTCTTTATTACATTTTCTTTACAAAACTGAATGTAGATCTGATACATTGTAGTACAGCATTGTCAACAATGAAGGTGAGGGATTAGTAAGTGCTTTACAGTGCCATAAATAAAAGATCATTATAAAGAATAATTCTTCGGCGAGATCTTTATGTTTTTTCTACCTTTGGTCAGAAAAAACACTCACATCCCAGTCTAAACTGAAGTTAATACAATGCACAACCAAACCTGTCCTGGTGATGTTTTTCTGATTCTTGTTGCAATCAGTCATAACCTTACTAACGTGGTTATAAATATGAGTTTAAAATACCAGTGAATTGGAATGCAAGTCCTCAGGTAATCCTTTCTTCATTCACTGAAGAAGTCTTGAAGCTCTTTGTTGAAGGCAACTCGTCACTTGATACGTTGGATATCATTTTACTCATAAACAAAATTTTATGTATGTATATTATCTTAGTGTTTTCATTAGGTACTTTCCTGTTCTTTCTTTGGTGATATTCACATATAGATACAGTATATTTTCCAATCTTTTGGTTCTTGGCCTACCTTCCTTGCTGCATGTTACTTAAAGGATAAATTATATTTGAACTAGATGAGTTTGATGGTGTGTTTTTGTTTTCTTTTTGGTTTGGTTTGTTTTTTTCCTCAGTATAGTTATGTTATTAGTTATCTCTCTCTGAAAAATAGTTCAGATCCTCCCTGTGTTTCTCACTGTGGGAAGACTTCTTTGACTGATCCTGTAGATATTCGAGGTTGTTGAGGAGATGATTTCAGTTCAGACTGCACCAGCACTTGTAAATTGTATTAAAAGACATGAAATCTGGTTTAGATTTCTAGTTGTCAGATAAAAGCTTCCATGAAATCATCCGAATTCTGATTTGTCATTGGTCGTATCTTCCTCCAGCAGACCCTGTTCTCACCTTTTAACTGCAGTGCAGAGTGATCAGGATGTTTTTGCACGTACTTAGGGTCCATAGAAGATCTCATCCAACTGTTGCATGCTCTTGGCTGCTGTCATAGCATATGGGACTGGCCTCAGTGCTGCAAGACAAGGCGAGAAATAAAGGTGGTTGAACAAAAAATGAAAGCTTGCTTCTTGAGCCAGAGGTTATTTGTGGTGCAGTGCAAGTCTATCATCAGGAAAGAGAGTGAGGAGGCCCACCCCAAATGCAGAAACTCTATAGGTCCTGTGTTATTGTTGAGCCTCACCCAATGTGCTGAGCTTTGCCCTTCAGTGCTGAGGAAATTTATTTGTTTACTTTATCTGGGCAAAATGATGGTACAAGTCTGCAAAATCAGGTTTTCTGTCTCTTCACGTGAAGCAGTTTGGACTTAAGTTGTCCTCCTACTTCTTTATGACGCAGCTTCAGTACCATAAGTTCTGAGTTGTTTACTGAGTTTGCATCAGCAGTCTGAGTTGGGACTTAAAAGCATTTCTCACTGTCTAATTCTGGCAAAACTACAAACTGATCTTTGCATGTACTAAGCTTTTAGTTAGGGCCTGTGCAGAAGTGTATCTCCAGCCCTCTGATTTTGTGTTCCTCCTCAGTATTTAGCTGTATTGCTACTATTATCCTGGCATCAATATCCATTTCCTTCTTCAAATGACAGTATCACCCGCAACACAGAGTGTGTTTTTGTATTTTATTGATACATGTGTATGTCAGGCATACAATCTGCTCTCCTAACATGATAGCATATTGAATATTTGTTTTTCAATTCAGTTAACCTTTTTACCACTTCCCAACCCATTGCCCTCTTCAGGTCTTGCAAGGATTCTTCACACAAGATCTCACTCAATGAGATCTAGCAGCTCTTAACAAGCCACAGGGACTATAAAGTTTGCACTCAGGCAAGCCATAGGCAAATAGTTTTATAGGTTCTAATTCCTCATACATAGATGGAATGTGGAACAGTCTGTGTTGGATTTGGGCAAGCCAATTAGATGATAATCCATTTTGCCACAGTTCAGGAAGGAGAATAGCTTGTGATTTTTAACTTGCAGGGTATGTCTTGTTATCTCCAGATCATTATGAGTAGGAAGCCATTCAGTGTTTGGGATGTTGTCATTCTAGCCAATGTGTTTTCACCAAGGCCCTGCTGATAATGGAAGACCATCATTTTCACAGGGTGATTCTTTTTTTCATGAGGACCAGATGAAAGAAAATTATCTTGAGGATAATGTCAGAATAATTGTTGATTTGTTTGTGTGATGCTTTTAAATGTGCGCAATCTCATGACAAACCTCAGTTTCACAGAATCATAAAATGGTTTGGTTTGGAAGGGACCTGAAAGATTATTGAGTTCCACCCCCGTGTCGTAGGCGGGGACACCTTTCACTAGACCAGGTTGCTCCAAGCCCCATGCAACATGGCCTTGAACACTGCCAGGGATGAGGTAGCCACAGCTGCTTTGTTTCAAGTCCTCTAATTGTGTCTTTATACATCATACTTATTATTTTAAAACGAATGATCATTCTGCTGATTGTACAAAGTTCTGTTCTTTGGTGACTTTATACAGTGCTCATCTGTAGGGATATGAATTTTATCTCTTCTTGCCAATGAGGATTTTATGACAGACGGTTCCCTTATCATTTGTGAACCTGTTTGAGTAATCATTTGGTACAGCACCAGTTTGTGACTCTCAATATCTATGACTTTTAAATTCCTTTTTTTTCTCCAGGAGTAGGCCTTCCAGGAGGCTCTTGTCTTCCAGGGATTATCAGAAAGATACAGTGATGGAATACTGTGGTTTTTCTTTAGCTTGTCCTCATTCTTTATAGTTCTGGTCCCTCTACCTCCTTCATCTGTTCTTGCAGACTATTAGAACTCTGCATCTCTTTACAGATGACATGTCATTGGGCTTCAGTTGAGTGCTGTTAAGGGTGTCTATTGTACTGTGGATGGTTTTGTCTTTCAGGCAGCTTCTGTCCACCCTTGGCTTTGGCAGTTCTTGGGGATAATTGAGTCATCTAGGTACCTGCAGATGTTCTAACTGATCTGCTTGTCCTTCAATAATGATTGAATTATGTCTGTCTTGAAGTATTCAGGGCCATGAGGGCTATTCAGAGAAAAGCCATAAAACGTGAACAAGACAAGAAAAAATTGCTTTTAGCTCCTCATAGAGTTTTTATTTAGCTTTGTAAGCAGAATGTTATAGTGCAGTCCAGAAATACATATGCAGTAGATGACCTTTCGGTCCAGAAGAGACAACAGATATATGTAACTCGATGCCAGATGAATTTATGCTTGATGTAAGGTGAGTTTAATAGTGCTAATTAATATTACAACAACTATGTAGATTGCAGTGGATTTCTCACCACTGGAAATCATAAACCAAAATTGTATTTCTTCTCTAAAGGATGGTGAACCCTAGTGTTTATAAATTCAGTCAAAAATGGACAAAATTTGGAGTTTCATCTGTATTTATTGTATGTATTTTAAGTCATGTATGTTTTAAAATGGTTTGGTTTTTTTTTTCTGCAGTATTGTACTCTTGCTGAGCCAAAAGCAAGCGCTGGAAGAACTTAAGCAAACAGTTCAGCAATTAAGATGCTCTGAGGCAAAATTTGCAGCCCAGAAAGAACTGCTGGAACAAAAGGTTCAAGAGAATGATGGAAAAGAGCCACCACCTGTAGTGAATTATGAAGAAGATGCCAGATCTGTGACTTCTATGGTAAGTTTTGCATCTGTTTTACTGAATTGTGCAGCCTTTCTGTTGTATTTTGGTCCTGGGATCAGAGTGCCAGGATACTCACAGGGTCGACTGAAGTGAATAAACCTCACTTTCCATTTGTGAATACTTGTCTAGAAAAACAAGTTCAGTTGTGTGATTTTTAATTTTTATTTTTTTGTTTGAAATGACTTGTAACACCCCCTATATGTCTGTGGGCTTGGTTTATTCTTCTGTATGGTTGACACTTAGATTCTCATTAGACTGTTTTATACTCAAATGTGTAAAACCTTAAATAGATTTAGTAAACATGACTGAGTAGCTGTTGGTAATTTCATTGACTGTGTTGAACCTTCACAGTTGTAGATAGAAATATAACAGTAAAAGCTGCTGGAACCACTACACACATTGTGTAACTAAGAAGTGACTTTTATGTATAGTAATTACTCTTTTCTTTGAACAGAAACAAACACTGATTTCTTTGCAACTTACTTTTAAATATTTACATCCTCTTAATAATCAAAAGGAACATTTTGTACTATGATGAGGCCCCATGTACTTAAATAAGTACTTTGCTAACATTTTGTGTGGCTTCCTTTTCTCAATTGTATGCAGCTATGTGTAGGGACATTAGGCCACATAAAAAAAGCAAACAAACTCTATCTGTTTACTAAAGGGAAAAGCAGTAGTGTTTGCTTTTATGGATTACGTTTGACATATATGAGATGTTGGTGACTTGTTTTCTTTGGAGGTTTAGCCTGCCATTGTTTTGGCCCACAGAGCAGTAGCTTAGTGAAAGAATAATGAAATGGTTGTTTCTGATACGAATGCTTTTGTTTTCCCTATTTGTGGAACCAAGTTTGGTTTTATTTCCGTTCCCTTTCTACAGACGTACTTAATTATCACTATGCTCTTGCTTCTACTACTGTTTAATATTTACAAGGCACTGACAGGTTGTTGCCGTTTTCACTGGTACCAAACATTATTTTACAAAGCTGGAATGCTTATCATAATCTAGGATTTGCTGAAGCACAAAAAGATGGAAAAGGAAAGATCAGGATAATGATTGTGAAAGATTAGGAGGCGTGGAATCTTTTTGGGGTAGGCTGTCTTGTTAGTTATTTCATGTTATGTCCTGTAGTAGCGCTAGTGAATATTGTCTGTAAGGGTTAGTTGAAATGATGAGTCTAATCAAGAGACTGGTATTCTTCTGCCTCAGTGCATGATTATTAAAAACTGTCATCCTGTGTACAACTGTCTGTTTCAATGGGTATGAGAAAATACTTCTTGCATATATGTACAACATAAAGTGAAGAATACTCACTTCTTAATATTTTTGGAATAAAAGTTATCCATGATGATTTTTTTTTTCCCCCTGGAGTATCTACATACTGAGATTTCTGGAATGCTGCAAGAAATAAATTTTTGTATATATTAAATGTGCCAAGAGTAAGAAGAATGTTGCTAATTTGGCTTCAGGGAATTTAGTCTTACAATTTGTACATATCATGAAAAAGAATGGAATTTAACTTAAGTATTGGGTGTTTTCCCTTGAGTAATTTATTTAAGAGAGGCAGATACCACTTAAGTTTTGTCTAACCGTTAAGTTAATATCATGAGCTAGTAAAATTGATTAAAAAGTGGTAGATGCAGCTGCAGTCTAAATTGAACTTTTTTCAAATTGCTGTACTTTGAGAGGGCAGTCTTAACTGTATTTCAGGATGAAAAAAATAATGCACCGATAGGCTGTTCATATAAATAACGTGCTTTTTATAATATGATTTTTTTTTTTTTAGTAGAACTCCTTAAAATTATACAGCTGTCAGATTATTAAAATGAAATGTTCTTACTGCTGATTGCTAATCGTGGTATCATTCAAGAGGATTGTTGTTTCTTCAGCTGTGATTCTGTTTAGGTTTCTTGTCTTTATCCAGAAACGGTTCATCTAAATGTTGTCTGATACTACATTTGAATGTGGTTCTTTATTCCTACTCAGAACTTCATCGTAAACATTTGTTTTACAAATTTTATTCCTAGGAATGACAAAATCATTCCTTGTGGAATCATGGCTTGTGTTGTGAGCGTGCATATGAAGTAAATTTTAATGTATTCAGTCACAAATGAATTTTTTTTTGTAATTTAAATTAAAAATATGATATACAAAACAATTTTGTAAAGTTTTCTGTTTGAGTATTTATATGCTGTCATATAAATACAATCAAATTCATAGTAGATTAGTTCACAAATTGTGCTGCTTTCCATCTCTTGCATTAGGTAACTGTACACTAGCATACTAAGAAGGAATGAAATACTGAAATGCTTTTTGATGTGTTGTTGTAGACAGTGTTATATGTGTGTGTGTTATAACTTCCTTTTTTCCTTGTTCTTTTTTTGCCTCTGTTAACTGTAGACTGCACACATCTTCAGTATGGTTTGTTTTAGTCAATATGTTTTGTTGTTTGCAGAATGTTAGCGGTGTATTAGTGTGCATGTATACATTTTAAGAATAAAGGAAATTGCTGGATGTTTCTCTTTTGGTTGGTGATGTAGCATAGCATGGAGTTAAAAAAATTTTTTTGGCCATTACTGAAGATTGCATTTATAATTTTTGGCATCATACGTGGAAAAATATTTTTTTCCTAGTATTTATGCCTTTCTACTGAGATAACCATGCAAGACAGGGATAATTTTAATGCTGAAGTTGCTACAAGTTTAAAATAATGGCTTTGAGCCCCTTCAAGTTGTGCAATTTTTATACTATACACTATGTAATCCAAAGAATCATAGTTAACTTTTTCTTCTATTCTTATATTAAAGAGATAAATACCAAGAAAAAGGTGGTTATTCCCTGTCAACTGCTGGGTTTATTTCCCAAATGTATCCAAATCGATTGGATATGTATTAATTTACTTTTGCAAAAAGTATCCTACCTTAGATATGCTGCTGAAGTTGTGTATTGCAGCTGCTACAAAGTTGCTCTATCATTTTATCTATCAGTATGAAATCTGATTTCGTTCATAAACTGATGCAGGGATCTGTGAAGAACATCACATTCTGACTGTGCTAGCTGTCAAACAGAAATACCTGATCAAATTTGCATCTAGTCACACTATCAAATCTTTCTGATTATGAAAGGATCAGTTTTATTCTTTAAACAGCTAATGTAAATGTGGATATGGCTTAAGATACCTGTTGTGACTCATATGACTGAAGCTGTTCAGGGTTAACTCGTGAAGCTTTGTTTTATTGTGATAAAACAAATGCACCCTCTCACAATGCAATTTCCAGAATAGGATACAATCACAAGTCCATATTTAATAATGCTATTTATTCAGAGGATAAAAAGGTTTTACATCCTGGTAGATCACATAACATGTCTAACGCTATTTCACATTGTTTGATGTAGCATTTGCCAGGGTTGCTTCATTAAATCCAGTCAGTGAGTCAGTTAGAGCTACTCAGAGTCACAAAAGGAATCTTCACTGTTAGGTGCCAGTTTCTGGGTGGCAGCGTGGAGAGTGCAGATTGCAAGGAATGTTACTTTAAACCAGTCAAAATGGTATGATAATTAAGTTACAGACAACTCATTTCTGGTGGGTTCATGTAATGGTTGGCTAGGGAGACTGGGCTCCTCACGGGCCCCTAGAGACTTCCTTTGAGGTTAGGGGAAAATTTTGGGGTTCTCCTCTCCTGGAGGGAGTTACTGCCTTCTGTAGGTTGGCACGGATCTGTGCTAAAGTTGGGTGGTGAGTCCCTGCTTACGGCCAGGGATCTGCAGCTATGAAATGCTTAGTTCTTGGTGTGTCATGGACCCTGGAAGGACCTACAGTTGCTTGTGGATTTCAAGGTCATGTGATACGGAGAGAATGTTCTTCTATCCTGTTCCTTCCTTACATGTTGACTTCTGGCCGCTGTTTCCCTAACAGCTATTGGCACTTCAGGGTATAGCTGCTTCAGTGCCTCTACTCTGATTCCAAGGACCAGACTTTCTTGGACTTGAATGCCTCAAATCTGGACTCCACCACTAGATTTGTCAGACACATTTCTTTAGCAGGCATTACTGTGACTGTGTGGCATACTGTGACATATCTTTGACTAAAAAATAACCAAATCCAAACCACAGCTTTTTGAATATATATTTAATGAGATCTGGAAAGACTGTGTCATTCCTTCTGTTACTGAGTAATGCATTCTAATTAAAGTAATTCACCTGTATACTAAGTCTAGTCACTAACATCATGCTAAATTCAGTTCATGCTATGCTTATAAATACTGTATTTGGGGGTCTTTTGGCTGCATGACCCGCAGCTGGCACAGTGCTCTGCTTTGTTGGCCGATGAACAGATTACTTGCTCTCATAGATTCAGTCTTCACTTTATGCGGCTGGTACATCCTGTAAGTTACTTCAGTTGTGTATCAATTTATCCTCCTTTGGGTACAAAATGCTGAATTCCAAAGTCCTCCTTAGAAAATCTCCTTTAAGAGGGAACCTCTGCTTGAGTTGAGGACCCGTGAAACTTTGTTTTCAGTTATCTCTAAGGAGAAACCCCTAAACTGTCCTTCTGATATGACCCCTTACCTTTGGTCTGTATTCCCTGTATTTTTCTGAAACATCTTTTGAGTAGCCGTTGCAGCAGCAATAATTCACCTGCTTGTAGCTTATAGCTACAATTTTTGTCTTTGCCGCCTTCTAATCCCCTCCCTACAAACTGCCTAACAAATGTGGGATCGTGTTTCATCAGGGCACTGATGCCATTATAGTTGGTGGAACCAGAGGAGATTTCCCTGTGCAGATCAGGAATAAAGGATTGAGTACACTTCATGCTTTGTGCCTTGCCGAAATGTGGGATTAGCTTCTGATCTGGAATTTTTGAGTTATAAAATAACCAGAACACAGGTTTTTGCTCCTAATGAGAAAAGGAGAAGGGTTTGTCTTTCTCCGTCTGGAGGGTATGTAAATTTACGTAGATTTCTGGCAAGCCTATTACTGTCATTTTAAGTTT